CTTCAAGTTCAAAGCCTCCAAAGCCGGCCAACAGCAGGGTATCGCTCACAGCAGAGGGGCTCAGCTCTGTCCTGGGTGCGATCCTGGCCTTGTGGATACAGGTGAAATGCCATCACTAGCTCTAGGCTCTCCTCCTCTTGCACACTCAGCCCTAAGCTGGTATTCAGAGAAAGCCACATCCCTGACCTCCAGGACCCCAGAGCCCAGCAAGAAAAAGCCATGTGTAAACAGATCTCCAGGACATTCTGGGCAACGCTAAAATTAGAGGTGTGTCCCTGTAGTCTCCGGGCACACATGTTACAATAACTCACCCTGCCTATGGGAAGAGGAGGCTCTGGGTGCCCCTGGATGAGACTCACAGTGACAGTCTGGGGACATGGCAAAGATGAGCAGGGAACACTGGGCTGAGGAGAAACCCAGGGGTTCAGGTAAGCTCCATGGAATGATCTCAAGGATGTCATTCAAGAGACCCCCTCAGAGTGGGCCAGGGGCATCAGCATAGGTGGCTCAGACTGGAAACAACCACGGAATTCCCCAGCTGCGGTCAGATTAAATAAAACTTTGGCACAGCCTAGAGTGAAATCTGTAAGAGCACCACGTAGAAAGAGGCACCCCAGGGGCCCATGAGATGGCTCAGTCAGGTAAGTTCTTGCCTTGCAACCTTAACAACCTGAGTTTGCGTCCCAGGACACACGAAAAGGTGGAAGGAGAGAACCAACTCCAAAAAGCTGACCTCTGACCTCCACATGCAAGATGAAGTACCTGCAACACACACACACATACATACACACACACACACACCATAACCACACAATAGCATTTAATTAGTTAATTAAAAGACAGAGGTAGACCCTGGCAGATATCCAAAATTTAAAAAGCTTTTGCTTTGACTGACGTCCTGGTGATTTGGTTTATTCAGTGGTGTTTGGCTAGCACACACCAAGCCCTGGGTTCAATAGGTAGTATCATATAAACTGTGTGTGGTGGTGCATACCTGTAGGTCTAGCATCCAGGAGGACCAGAGTTCAAAATCATCCTCAGGTACTTAGTGAATTCCATTCCAGCCTGGGATATCTGAGGCCCTGCCTCCCAAACAAGCAAATTAAAGCAGTAAGTGGAAAGGTGAGGGGCTCCCCGCAGTTCCATGTGCGGTATGAGTTCACACTGCATATGCAGATTTGTGCCCAGGCCACCCTTTGCCTCAGATACCTCAGGGGAAAAATTACAGTAAACTAGTAGCAGAGGTCCTCTCTTTTCAAGACAAGCCAGGAGGGGAAGGGAGGACTCTGCTGGCTACCTGCTTTTTTTTTTTTTTTTTTTTTTCCACAAAAAGAACCCACTCTTTTTCTACTTTTCTTTTTCTTTAATTTCCTTTATCTGTATTGTGCATGTGTGGGCACGAGGGTTACAGGGCACATGTGAAGCTAGAGAACTTAGAGTCATTTCTTTCCTTGAAGTGGGTTCCAGGGAGCAAACTCAGGACATTTTTTTAAGGAAAAACAGTTTACAAGCTAGGCATGGTGGTACATGCCTGTAATCCCAGGACTTTGCAGGTGCATGCAGGAAGATTAAGAATTCATGGTCACAGAGCTGGAGAGATGGTTCAGAAGTTAAGAGCACTGGCTACTCTTCCGGAAATTCTGGGTTAGGTTCCCAACATTCACATGGCAGCTCACAACTGTATGTAACTCCAGGTTATATTCTAAGGAATATGACCACCTTCTTCCTGCCTTCTCAGGTACCAGGTACACATGTGGTACACAGACTTCTATGCAGACAAAACACTTAGACACAAAATGAAAATAAATAAATTCTATTTGGAAAACAACAACAACAACAACTCAGGGACCAAGGATAGAAAAGCCTGACAGATGCGCGGTGATCATTTTTGTCTCCCAGCCCCTCCCCTCAGACAAGTTTTCTCTGTGTAGCCCTTGCTGTCCTGGAATCTGCTCAGTAGATCATGCTGCCCTCGAACTCACAGAGATACACCTACTTCTGCCTCTTAAGTGCTGGGATTAAAGCTGTGTGCGCCACTGCTGCCCTGTTCTTTATGTCTCCTTTAAAGACAGAAATACAAGCACCTCGGGTTTGCAGAGTGAGCAACCCTTGCCCCTACCGGTCCTCTTGCCAGGGGTGGGGCAGGAGATGGCATGGAATAATGGGTTTTTCTGTAAATGGTTTTCAATTAGCAGGAAACTCCGTCCAGCTAAATCACTTACTCTGCAGCAGCCACCATCCTGCAGTCACACTCTGGTACCTGGAGCCACCCCAGCAGCCTTGCCCCATGGTTGAGTTCTTGGCCAGGGCTATTTCTAAGCAGAAATACTGCTGGGGATGTACGGCAAGCTCAGTTGGCTAATGAGGAAAGGTTCTAAGTTCTGGGTCCTGCTCAGCCTCCAGAAAACAAGAGCAAGAACCAATGCAGGCATCTACAGGGGCTGCAAGGAGCAATGACTCTGACCTCGCAAGCTTGTCTGATCTCACGTGACTGTACCTACCTTTTGTATGAGTGACGTTTGTGGGGGGTTTCTGCAATGTTGGGGATTGAACACAGAGCCTCCTGCATCCCACATCCCCAGTCTTTTCTCACTTTTTACTTTGAGACAGAGTCTCACTAAGTCACCTAGGCTGCCCTTAAACTCACTCTATAGCTTCAGCAGGCCTGGGATTACAGGCCTGCACTACCAGGCCCAGCCACAGTTTATCTTCATATAGCTCTTTCCTAATTCACTCTCTCACCACTAGTCCTAAAAGGAAATGCTGTAGGAAGCAAGGCAGGGTGTAACACTTTTCTATTTTATGGGTGAAAATGGAGAGAGGTGTGACAAGACTGAGCCGGTGGTTACACACTGAAGAGGAGGAGGTAGATGGGATGGGACCCCCCACACACACACTCTTTCCATCCTTTACCTTGGCCTATTCTTTTGTCTCTAATTTACAGGCAAGAAAAAACTGAGAAGACTCAATGTGGTCTCCCAGGACCACCCAGTGCTGGTGGTTTTCAGCCCCGCTGCTCACTGCAGCTGCATGAAGAGCTGAGCTACTTGGTAACGAGTTCTTTCCCCAAGGCATAGGGATCTATGGTGTTGGAAACCTCCCAGATAATTCTGATTCCACTCTGGGTGAGAGCCTATGTCTGAATTATAGCTCAAATCATCTACCCCAACCTTCAGTCTCCCTACAACTTATACCCTAAGTCTCTGCTCTACCTTCCACCCTTGGGGCCCTAGCAGCGCTGCTTTATCCTTCTTACAGGGTACCTGGAGTCAGAGAACTGGGCTGGGGAGCTAGCCAAAGACATAGCCAAACTTGAGACCCAAAACCAAGATGTCATTTGCCTACGGCGTGCCAGTGAGTCCAGAACGTAGCAGGATAGAGTCAAGGCCTACTGGCTGCTGGCAGGTTGCCTCTCAGAAGGGTCCCGTTCAAAGCCAGTCCTAATGGCCAGCCCGGCAGCTCCTGCCAACAGAAGAAACTCAGGGGGTGCAGGGAGGCTGAGGAAGAGGAAGAGAAGAAATGCAAAAGGAGAGAAAGATGACAGCGGGAGGAAAGGGGGGAGGGAGGAACTCATTTTCGGGGGACCCTTTGGTATCTCCAGACACACCTATCCTATGTACACCCTGGGGACAGGGGGGTCTGTTCTGGAGAGGTGATCATACAACCAGTCTGTGGAAAAAATATCCTCATGTCTAGACTGATGTCCAGCTACTCTAAAATGCCCTGATGAGCCAAGGGTGGTGGCACACCCCTGTGATCCCAGAACCCAGTGTGTGGGAGGTAGAAATGGGAGGATCACGAGTTCAAGGCCATCACCAGCTACACAGGGAGTTTGGGATCAGCCTAGATGACATGAAACCCTGTCTAAAAGGATAAAAAAGAAAAAGTCCCTTGGGACTTTTTAGCTTATACCATTCATGTCTAGATTCCTTGCCCATAATAACATGGTGCCAGACACAGTGTCTTGCAACTGTAATTCCAGTACTTGGGAAGCTAAGGCAGAAGGATCACTGTGAGTTTAAGACTAGCCTGGGCTATATAATGAGTTCAGCCAGAAATGCCTAAGACTCTGACTCAACACAAATGAGCGCACACACACACACACACACACACACACACCAGCTAAACCGAGGTACAGTAAGACCCTGCCACAGCAACAAGACCAATAATAGTTAGGTGTGGTGTCACGTGCCTTTAATTCCGGCACTTGGGGTGACAGAGGTAGGCACATAGAAAGACCCTGTCTCAAAAACAAGAACAATAATGTTATTATCTTTCATTTTTTTTTGAGCTCTCTGTGGTCTTGCCTCGGCCTACATCATTTTATTTCTGCAGCCGTTCAGAGGGTTCAATAATTACTGTCTCCAATTACAGATGAGAAAACTATGATCAGAGAAATGAAGGAACTTCCCAAAACCACTCAGCTAGAAAGTGGTGGGCGGTATTCAAAGCAAGGTTGTAGACACCACTACCATCCCGATCCTGTGCCGCGGGCAACGGAGCTGCAGAATCATCTAGTGGAATGCCCCACTCCGACTAGAACGCAGGCGCATCCTCCTTCCACCAAGGAGGACAGCAAGCACCCATGAGAAGGATCTTGGCCTCAGGGAAAGCTCAGGCAAGTAACAGCAGGGAGCAGAATCCAGGTGGCCGCAAGCACAAAAGCTGACCGTCTCTCACCGGGGTGATGGGGAGTCACACCCTGCTGGCGTGGTGGGCGCGGCCAGCATCGGACCCACCGCCTACCTGAGCACAGCGGACGCGGCTGGCGAGCTAGACCCCAGCAGGTAGGAGTTCATAAATGAGCACAACACAGGTAGACAAAGTGGCGTCCTGTGGGCAACCGAGATGGCTGAAACCGCGCTGAGCTGGGGCCGCCACCATATCCCGGTTCCTAGGGAAGTGAGTGGGGCGAGGAGCCGTCGCGCACTCCCGGGGACTTCCCCGAGGCATACCCCACCCCCGACCCTGGATCCACCGGCTCCATCCGAATCACTCACCCAGAACACAGTGGAGTAGACGATGAGAGAGAACTTGAGCCAAAGATAGGAGAAGCGCGCGCAGTAGCGCACCTGCTCCGAGTCCCCGCGGGGCATCGTGGCTCCCGCGCGGGGCTGCGGGGCTGTGTCGCCCCGGCCACCGCTCCAGGCCCCACCTGCGGCTGTCTGGCGGCCTGGCCCGCCACCCGCGCTCCCTCCCGGGACTGACACTGGCGAGCCGCAATCACGGCTAGGGCCAGCGAGCGGACAAAGCCGGAGGCCAATGGAAGCGAGGAGGCGTGTCGGGGGCGTGGCTTCGGCTTCAGACCTATGGCAGACCGGGCGAGGGGAGGGGGCGAGACTCCAGGGCACAGACACCCGCGCTCCGGAGCCCGGCGTGGGAGCGGGTGGCGTGGAGAGGCGCCGCAGTAAGGGTGAGCGTGCCCAGTTATTAGAAAACAGGCTTTCGGGCTCTGGAGTTCAGTTATAGGGAGCTTGCCTAAGAGCCTGGGTTTCTAAGCATCCTCAAAAAATAAAGCAGGCTTTCCACTGTGGAGAATGAACACCTTGAGAAAGAGGCAGGGAGTAAATGCGACAGAGTTAAAAGTAAAAGTGAAGCACTTGGGAGACAGAGGCAGGAGGATCTCGGTGAATTACACTGTGAGTTCCAGGACAGCCAAAGCTACACAGTGAGACCTTGTCTGAAACACAAGACAAAACCATGCAAGCGAGTGTTGCATGATTGAGGTGAGGGATGATGGTCTGCATCCTGGAAGGTCAGCTCTCCAGGATGGAACTCGGTCCCTTTGGAGAAGCAATTTCCAGAGACAGATCTGCCCTCAGGTCCTTCCCCGAACTGACTATGGAAATCTCTTTTGGCCCCCAGCCCGGCTCCCTGAACTTTTTCTCCCAGGAAATCCTTTTCTAGGTCCACCTTGAAACTCAGTCACCCTGAGTTTCAAACACACTCAGCAGGGGTCTGACCTGCTCCAGCCTTACCTTTGCGGCCACAGGTGGCTATGAGACCGTTTTCCTTGCTAAATAGCCCCAGCTGTACTCTGCTGTTTCCCTGTCTCCGGACCTGGCCTAACTGAGCCCAGAGTCTGAGAATCATACTCTGTGTTTGTGAGATTCGGTAATTAAACGCCAGATCACAAGTCAAAAGCTCTGCAAGTTGCTGAGTGGGGGTCTCTGGTGGTGAGTCTGGGAATGGCAGCCTCTAGGCAAGTTCCCTGGGCTGGATTGAAGAGCGGGAGGGAAATGTCTAGGTGAGCAGAGCAGGTGCTGATCCTGGTACTCCTCTCTGTCTGGAGATGTGTGGGTGTGGAGGTGAAGGCCGTGAGTGTGTGGGTGCCCTGGATCCTGAAGAGGACGTTGATTCCTTGGAGGTGGAATTAGAGGCAGTGGTGATTAGGTATCAGTGCTAGGAACCAAACTTAGATCTTCTGCAAACACTGAAGCCCTCTTGGGCACTGAGCCATCTCTCCAGGACTCTACCCTGTTTGGGGGTTTGTTTGTTTGTTTGTTTGTTTGTTTGTTGAAAACATCTCATATACACACACAAATAAATTAAGCATAGACTCGGTAAAGTAACTTAGACAGCAGGACTAAACGAGTAAAGACTTTATGGAGGCGCCCTTTTCACGTAGAGACAGCACACTGGGCTAAATCCTGGGGGGGGGTCCTACAGCTGTCAATTACTTGAATACTGTCTCTAGAATGTCTCATTTCCCTTGGGCAGACCCTTCCTGCGAGGGCAGGCAGTTTAGTCTTAAGTGATTTTGCTGAAGTTACAGGAACCGGTTTTGTGGCTATCCCCTCATAAAGGTTTGCATTCTGGATATCTGCATGGGCCTCAGAAGGAGTGCTGAGATTTCTCTTTATGATAACTTGGCAGGGACATTTAGAAGGAAACTACCCTTGTCAGTAATGGCTGCGATGACCGAAGGAGAACATGATTCTACGTAGCTGGTGTTCTTGGGTAAGTCTGCAGATATACAACTGGATCCATGACGCCCCGTGCCTTTGTTTTCCCTTCTGTGAAACAATGAGGCTGGGCTGTTTCTATCCAGCTCTGACAGACAACCTTAGATTCCTTAGTCAATAGGCCAGTCAGCAAATGTGCATACTGCTTCTAGTCCTGGACTCTGAGGAAATGTTTAAAAAAGTAGACAAAAGAATTTCTGCCATAGCACTTGAGAGGCAGAGGCAGGCATATCTTTGTGAGTTTTAGAGGCCAGTTTAGTCTACAAAGCAAGTCCAGGACATCCAAGGCTACACAGAGAAAGCCTGTATCAAATAACAAAAATAATATTAATAATAATTATTATTATATTATTAATAATATTATTAATTTCTGTCCTATTGAGTTGGAAATGTGGGGACATGCAATGTGCAAAAGCACTGAAAAGGTTAACTTCAGAACCTTGTGTATGCTAATGATCTTCCCTGTGGAGGAGAGCAGGTGCAAACTTCCTGGAGAGCCAGAGGGGGCGGGGCCAGCGACTAGGAACAAACCTTCGTCTTTCTTAACTTTTCGAATGACATCAAGCTCTGCATAGCTGTTGAAGGTAAACCAAACCAGAGAGTCTGTTTATTTCCCATAACCGTGCAGGCCAGTAGTGAGGATTAGGTGGGGAAGTGACACAGAATTTAACCTGTGCTTTAGAAGACAGCTGTGAGGGTGGAATGGGAAGGGAGGGGCTAAAGAGGAGGCAGTGGAAATGGGGCAAATGGTTGGATTGGGCTATTTCTGGCTTTCAGGCCCTACATAACCCAGAGTAGCTGTGACTTCGGCCCAATACAAAGTCATAAACTTACTCAGAACATTGTAAGAAAGTCCTTTTTTTTGGTAACATGATTACATGGTTGTAAATTCAGACTTGAATTTTGTAGACGACAGTGTCCTGCTGTGATGTCAAAACATTGGATTTGTCTGGTAGGGAGGCAGGGCTTACTGATGGGTGGGTACAGCTTGTGAGGAGAGATATCTGGGATGATCCTAAGCTTTGCTTTGGATTCCTTTGCATTGAACAATTAGGTAGGTGCTCCTGTCATTTACAGAGGGTAGAGAGAAAAAGCAGGAATTGTTACAGGTAGATGATGATGATGGTGATGATTTAGGATCTCAGAATGTATCAGTTAGCTTTTGCTGTACAACAACAACAAAACAGAGCAAAACAAACAAACAAATCCTTTAAGCCACGCTTCTCTGAAAGGAGGGGCTGTTTGAAGAGATTCAGGAGGGGTTTGTTTCTCTGGACCAGAAAACCGGTCTTTTCCTGGTTTCTCATCCTGGGCCTCAGGCACATGTGCACAATCTTTGGGGCATCTTCCTTCCTCAGAAAGTCTTTTTCAGTCAAGTGACAGGGTCCAGAGGTCACACATTGCTGAAGACAGTGTAGGTCTTGGGTCTCACATCATCCTGACAGGCTGAGTGTGAGCCCCAGCTCCAGACAGACACCAGCCAGTCCCTTCCATAGCAATCTGGGATAGACTCTTCCTTATAACCACACCATTGGGTTGGCTTTTCCCTGCGCCTTCCTGCCTAACTTCCTCCTCTGGACCCTCCAATGCTGCCCCCTTTTCTTTCCCTCCTGCCCAGAGTGGCCACCATCTTGTTTTTCCAAGAACTGAAAGTGGATCCATGGATTTAGGAATTGTCGTTTCTGAACCAAGACTGCTCCTAACACACCACACAAGTGTTCCAGAGCTGAGGAGTTTCCTAGAACACAGGACTGTGAGACTGAACACCAGGAAATCCTGAGAGAATGAGGCTGAGCCAGCCATCCTAACTGCCAATCCTTCAGCAAGCTCAGGATGACCAGAGAAAGTGGCCTGGGTGAGACAGGGTCTCGTGATCACAAACCAGTCAACCATGATTGTGGTGGTTTAGAAGAGAATGTGCCCCACAGGATCAGGTGTCTGAACACTTGGCCCCCAGTTGCTGGGGACTATTTTGGGGGAGGTTATAGGAGGTTCAGCCTTGCTGGGTGGGCTTTGAAAGTTCACAGCCTCACTACACCCCAGTTCATTCTCTTCACTTTCAGCACGCAGTTGGAGATGTTCCCTGTCAGCTTCTTGTTCCCACCACCGTGCTTCTGCTTGCTGCCTTGCTGTGTGCCTTTCTGCCACGATGGACTCTCTCTTTTCCAAGACAGACTTTCTCTGTGTAGCCCTGGCTGTCCTGGAACTCGCTTGTAGACCAGGCTGACCTCAAACTCACAGAGATCTGTCTGCCTCTACCTCCTAGAGTGCACATTTCAGGCATGTGCCAGCTCCATTAGGACATTTTTATACTTACGTCATTGTACTTTGCTTATATTTAATTTGTGAACTCTCCCTTGTCATCATTCCCCTCCCTTCCTTGCCAGTCGCATCTGCCTCCTAAGTACTTCCCGTCTGCTTTCGTTGTGTGTGTGTGTATGTTTGCATATGTACACTGTAGTTAAATATAGATTTTATATAGGAGAGTTTTGTGGGGTTTGTCATTTTGAGAGTGCTTTACTTAACATGATTATCAGATGAGTGTTTTTTAAAGATCACTTTGGTTTTTGGGCAGAACAGAGCAGGATCGGGGATATAGACGCTGGTGTGAAGAGGTGTGCCCGTGGAAGAGGCTTGGAAGGCAGTCCTCAGTCAGGACTGCTCGAGCTTTCTAGGTAGAGACCAAATCGAGCAACACAGAAGGACCCCATGTGAGAGCACACACACAAGAAAGGACGTAGGCCAGCTTGATGGGAAGCTGCATCTCACATGAAAGACTAGGACGTTGCTGGTGGCGACCACAGCACTCCATAGCTGTATCTGGGTGTCAGAGCATTATGGGTGTCTCCTCACTCTTCATTGCCAGCTCGTGTGCTTTGCCAGTGGGAAGCAGGCATCTCAAGGAACAGAGCTTGTATGTTCTCTTGGGAATATTTATAGGATTTGACTAGCGCCTGATGTTAATTTCAGGTTTACTCAAAAGTCTTACGTGGTGTGACACATTCTCTCCAGCCCTGATGAAGCAGAAACTTGATGGTAATTAGCCACTGGGACCTGAAGGGGGTAGTTCTGACTGCAAGTTTTTCTCTGATGAAGAGCCTCATCTCATTATAATAAGATGCAACTTTTCAAACTTGGTTGTCAGGAATTGGGTTCCGACATTTTGGATAAGTTAGTATTTGATTGTTATGTAAGTTACCTGTGAGAATGGTTGAAGTTATAGCATATTCAAGTTTTTTCTCACTTTGGTGGTAAAAATTGTAACATGATCTATTCTCCAAATTGTAAGTTAACCTCAGGGTTAACTGTGCTCAGTGGGGTTGGCGCTTTGCTTTGTGGCGTGCTGGGGATCGGGTGCATGTGTGGGAGGCAAGCCCCTCCGTTGAGTTTTGATGTATCTTGATTTAGAATCTGATACTTTTTTATTTCTGGTTAACTCATAGATTAATAACTGCTTGTCTTTATGTTAAAAGTAATTAAGCTTGAATTTTGAAATGTAGTGACTGTTTAAACATGATAATCATAAGCATTTCTATCTTATTTCAGAGTTTCCTTGGAGGCTTTTTTGGTCCCATTTGTGAGATTGATGTTGCCCTTAACGATGGGGAAACCAGGAAAATGGCAGAAATGAAAACTGAAGATGGCAAAGTAGAAAAACACTATTTCTTTTACGATGGAGAATCTGTTTCAGGAAAGGTAAACTTTTGTTTGGCAGAGTTACCTAATTCTAGGATATTTGAATTAGTTACCAAAATAGTCTGTACTGTAACTAAATTTGAATGGTTATATTAGAAATAGAATTTTTTTCTGAAGGTCAACTAAAATCCTTGATGATTAGAAATGCAACAGAAGATTCCTTCCATGGAAGGATTTTAGTGGCAGAGTCTGAATTTCACAGTATTTTTTGCTGGTGGCTATGTTGTAAGCTTTGGAGAGATTCCTCTTTAGTCTAGAGCTTTGGAGAGCGTGGAGCAGTTGTCTGGTGTAGCATAGGAAGGCTTCTTTCTGACTCTTTGTAGCTTGCTCTTCTGTGCTGTCATTGTGTCTCATTTGCTTTCTCCTCATGCTGGGGGAGGCCTCAGCTCTTTTGGAATGTGTCTATATGGCTAGATACATTTAAGACATCTGTTTCTGTTGTCTTTTCTTCACTCAATAATGTGTAAACTTCTCGTCCTTTCTTCTTGTCTCATTAGCCCAGCTGGCCTCAAACTCCCTGTATTAAACTTGTCCTTCTCCTGCCTCCACCTTGACATACTGGGATTGCAGGGGCGCACTGTCGGACCTGGCTAACCCTTAATTGTTTTAGAGCAGTTTTAGAGTTTTAGAAAAAAGTGGGTAAAATCCAAATTTTTTATATTGCCTCTTCACCATGCCTCATATGTAACTTTGCCTGTTTTTACTATATGTTGAGGTAAGGTCATGTAACCCAGGCTGGCCTTAGACTACAGTGATTTAGTCTTCCGCCTCAGCCTCCTGAGCTCTGCAATTGAATGCATGAACCACTATGCCCAATTTAGTTTGGTAGATTTTTTAAAAATTAATGGACCAAAGCTAGATTTCGTGGTATGTGTCTGTAATCCCAGTGCTTCGGCAGTAGATGGGGAGGTTAGAGTTATCTTCAGCTACAGAGGGAGCTCAAGGCTAACCTGGGCTACATAAGATCCTATCTTAAATAAAGCAAAGAACTGATGAACCAGATTGGTTCACAGCTTTAGTTAGGGTTCACTCTTGATGTTACATGTTGCATGGGCTTTGACAGACACAGTGTTCTGACTCGGTCGTTTGAATCCCCTGCCGAACGGCTTAGTCCTCCTCAGTGGCCCCTCTGCTTCCCCTGTTCCTGCCTCACTAGAGGCCACTGCTGAGCTTTTTACTCTTTATGACTTACCTTTTCAGAATGCCTTGTGGTTGGAATCATACATGATGTAGATTAGTTTCTATGTCTATTTGATGTTCCTCAGTATCTTTTTGTGACTTGGTAGCACATTTGTTTTTAATATTAAATACTCTTTTGTGCTGGCCATGGCTCATGTCTCTACTTTTCAGCATTTGGAATGCCTAAGAGGCTGGTGGTTGCTTCAAGTTTGAGGCTACCCTAGGCTACATACATAGTGATTTCCAGGCTAGCCTGAGCTACAGAAGGAGGCTGTCTCAAAACATGTGTGTATGTCTTTTGTATGGATACCAGCATATTTATTTCTCCCATTCACCTACTAAAGACTGTCTTGACTATTTTTAAGTTTTGCTCAGTTTGAAAAATTGACTTAATTGACTTTCTTTCTTTTTTCTTTTTGGTTATTCAAGACAGGGTTTCATTGTGCAGCCTTGACTGTCCTTCTCTGTAGAGCAGGCTGGCCTTGAATTTACAGAAATTCACCTGCCTCTGCTTCCCAAGTGCTGGGATTAAAAGTGCCCACCTCTACTGCCTGGCTTAATTTACTTTCTTATTGGTGTGTAGGACTTTTTATATATTTAAGATTTCTTTTTCTTTGATTTGTGTGTGACTCTGCATTTGGGCATGCAGAAAGCTTGTGGAGGTCAAAGGACAGCTTTTCTGGATTTCGTTCGCTCCTTCTTCATTTAGATTCAGGGACTCAGATTATTTTTTGCCACTGTCAGCATATGTGAAGGTTTACCTGATTTTCCAGTTTCCACCTTCCATCCTGCTGTTAGAGTGCTGGGGCTGGGTTCACAGATATGAGCCACATCTGGCTTTTTTATGTGGGTTCCTTTCCTACATGGGTTATGGAGCTTGTATGGCAAGCACTTTTACCTGCTGAGCCATCTCCTGGCCTCTTTTTTTCCATGTTTTTGATGAGAATCTTTTATGGCTTGGTATGGTATGCTATAATCCCAGCCTTTGGGATTTTGAGTTTGAGCTAGTCTGAGCTACATGAGAGCCTATCTAAAGAGGAAAAATGGTCTGATTTATTTGGTTTAGAGTTGTTCTTTTATTTTTTCTTTTCTTTTCTTTTCTTTAAAGAAAAAAAAAAACTGGATGGAACTCAGTAGTGTGTAGACCAGGCTAGCATCCTACTCATAGAAATATGCCTATGTCTGCCTCTACCTCCAGAGTGTTTGGATTAAAGATATTTGACAACATGCTTAGGTTGTTTTTGATTTTTTTTTTAATTCCCTATATTTTCTTTTGACTTGACTTTCCGTTTAGTCTTTTTTTTTTTTAAGATTTATTATGTATGCAGTATTCTGCCTGCATGTTTGTCTGCAAGCCAGAAGAGGGCACCAGATCTCATAGATAGTTATGAGCCACCGTGTAGTTACTGAGAATTGAACTCAAGGCCTCTGGAAGAACAGCCAGTGCTCTTAACCTCTGAGCCATCTATCTCTCCAGCCCCTCCAACTCAGTTTTCTATTTCTGTCTTCTCATTGGCAGTTGTTTGATGTTTTGTTGTTGTTGTTGTTGTTGTTGTTGTTTTGTTTTGTTTTCTTCAGTCAGGTCTAGTTTAGACATTTTCTAGCTACAGCCAGAATACAAAGTTACTCCGTTTTCTTTCACCTACTTTTTACATTATATGTCCTGTCCTGGTCCTTAGTTCATTTAGAGCTGATTTTGCTTATGGTGTTGTAGAAGTCAAATGTGCCCCACACTTGGATCTATAATTAACCCTGGACATATATTGAACACGTCACCTTTCTCTCATTGGCTACAATGTCACCTTTGTCTTAAAGCAAAGATCATATAGTCTATTCTGGCTTCTTCCGTTCTTGTGGCTTATCTGTGGCATGCACCTCTTCATTCCTTTTGAATATTCTAATTAAGTTGTACATACACCATAAAATTGGCCCTAATCTAGTTCATTGTTGCTTACTATGTTTGCAGAGTCCTGCAGCCCTCACCATTCACTTGAGAACATTTATTCCTTTGAACAGAAACAGGATCCACTACCTGCAAAGCCCTCATCTACAGATCTACTTTGTTTTCTGTTCTGGACATTGCATATAAGTGGAATTACACTGTGGCCTTTGAATGTGGTTCCTTTCACTGAACTGTCTTTTCAAGGCTCTGGTACACGACCTCATTCTCTTCAACTGTATTTTAAATTTAAAGATATTTTAGCTCCATTCAAGAAAGATCTCTTCTTGTCCTTGTTTATAAAAGGCATTTGTTTTGCTTACCAGCTATATTATTCCTGGGTATTCTGAAGTCCTCCATGGTTTTCAGATTAGTAGTAACTCATTGTAAGGTTATTAATAATGATTACTATGTTTGTTATTGACTTCTAACAGAAAAAAATGTGCCTATTTAAGTTTTTGTAATTGATGTATTGTTGAAAATATGGGTAACAAAGATTTAAAGGCATTTTCCATGTTAAAATTTTTTTAAACATTTCTGGGGGTTGGGGGAGAGTGCATGCCAGAGCATGTGAATAGAGGTCATAGGACAGCCCGTGAAAGTTGGTTCTTTCCTTCCATCATGTTAGGTTCTAGGGATCAAACTCAGGTCAGCAATATCTGTGACAGGCGCTCTTAATGAATTGCCAACCTTAATTTGTCATTTTAGCCATACAACCTAATGGTAATTCTTATGTATTTTAATCTTAATCACACTATATTTTCAAAGTTTTTATCTCACCCTGAACAGAAACTTTATATCCTATTAGTGGTCACTGCTCTCTCCTTGGTGACCTCTAATCTGTTTCCTGTCGCTTTATCTGCTCTAGCTATTTTGTATAAGTAGTTGCACAATATTTGTCCTTTGATGACTGCATTATTGAGCATGCTGCTAGGAGCCCTCCATGTAACAACATGTCTGAGTATGAACTGTTATCTCATGGTTTTGAATTTCTTTCTTTCTTTCTTCCTTCCTTTCTTTCTTTTTAAAGACAGGGACTCTATAGCCAAGGCTAACCTTGAATTGATGATCTTGGCTCCACATCCTAAGTGTTGTGTTAATGGGTGTGCACTACCATGCCAGCCTTACATTTTTTTTGTTTGTTTGTTTTTTGAGACACGGTTTCTCTGTGTAGCCTTGACTGTCCTGAACTCACTTTGTACACCAGACTGGCTTTGAACTCAGAGATCCGTCTGCCTCTACCTCCCTGAGTGCTGGGATTACAGGTGTGCACCACCTCACCCAACTTAAAATTTTAAATTTTGATGAAGTCCAATTTATCTATTTTTAAATTTTATTTTATTACTTGTGCTTTTGAGAAATCACAGCCTAAGTGAAGGTCATGAAGCTATATTTGTGTCTTGTGCTAAGAATTTTTGTGTTGTACTCACTGAGGTTATTTTTTACTTTGAGTAAATCTCTATTGGGTGTGAGGAAGTCTTTCAGTCTTGTTCTTTTGAAGGGTAACTTCGATTTGCCCCAGCACCATTCACCCAAAAGAGAATTAACTTCTCTATTGCATTGTCTTGGTGCCCTTGTGCAAATACCTTTAAAAATTAAAACTCTCTATCAAAAATTTTTCGAGGGTTTTGAATTGACGCTAAAATTCTTGTTTGTCTACTGCTTGATTTCTTTTATGTTCTGTTCTGTACCTTGTATTCCAAATTTATAAAGAAAGGCAGGAAGTAAAACTCACTTTGAACCAAGAAGATCATTCTCTGTTATTTTTGAAGTTTTCAGATAGCAGCCTTAGAAAAGAATGGCTTTTCCCTTTACATTAGTTTTACATGTAAAAACTATTACTATTGTTATTATTTATTAATTTTTAACAGGGTCTCTGTGTAGCCCTGCCTGCCCTGAAACTTGCTATGTAGACCAGGCTACTCTTGAACTCACCTGCCTTTGCTTCACAAATGTTCTTAAGAGTGTAAACTACTATCCCCAGCTTAAAAACAATTTCTGTCAAAGCAATTAGGTACTGCTGTCAAATTGTTGGTTCTATAAAAATGAGACCTTCTTAGATTTCATCAAGATAAAGCAATTACAATTAATATCATTGGCAATTGTTTCAAAGTGACATTATGAATTTTTATTGTTTCTAGCTTGCTTATATAGGGCATTTTTACTATTTTGTCTTTGGACAAGGACTTGATGCTTGATAATAGTAAAATACCTTGACCAGGTGGCTCTGGGCTGCCCACACTGAATGGTTCGTTTTTGCTTTTGCAAGCAGTGAACAAAGGTGTCTGTTTAGTCTGAGACTACAGTTTATAGCTGAGCTACTTAGGTGAAAGATGTTTGTGTAGTGCTGTTCAGCAGTGTGGATATGGACTAGGTTCTTAGAAGACCTGAGTTCATGCCCCAGAACCCCAGGGTAGAAGGAGAGACCCAACTCCCAGAAATTCTCCTTCAGCTTCACATGTATGCTGTGGGACATGAGACACACACAGACACGCTAAGTGTACAGATAAATACAAGTAACATGGCAGTGACATGAGGATGAATTGGAAGTGGATTTCACAACAAATGCTGATTCTCAGGAAGTAGATTCAATGCTCTAAGACCATGACAAGGGCTTGACCTTGGTTGGAGGAAGTGGATCCACAGATTTGACAGCTAGGACTTTGTGCTGGGTTAGATTTTGGTGGCTTTGAACAGGAATGAGGGGGAAGGAAAGGAGTCAGTCAGGAAATGGGCAGTACAGAGGAACAGAGATTGTTTTACAGCTCCAAATTGAAGCTGCAGCCGGTATTTTCATGGTGAAACCTAAGACACAGTAGAGAACCCTGTTTGTATCCTGCATTTTCCCCTAGCAGATCATCCTGTGGAGAAAAGCATCCGAAAAACTGAGGAAACAGAGGACAAATTTTCACCAGCGATTTGAATCTCCGGAATCACAGGCATCGGCAGAACAGCTTGAGATGTAAGCCAAATAGGACAGAGAGCAAGAACAGGAACTGTAGCCAAGAGGTGAACTCAGCAGGTTAAAGATGGTCACAGCGTGGGGAAAGTCCGACTCCATGTCTGCCAGTCTTCCTTATCCTGAAGTGCTGCGTTTATTTTACAGGATGATAAAGGTTCTCTGTGTACATACATTTTAAAAAGTGCTTTCTTGGAAACACTGGAGAATTCTTAAGCTGCCTTTTTTGTTTTCTTTTTTACTGCACACTGATAAGCACTCAGATGCGTCAGCATAAACATTAAAGATCTCTATGTGTGTAGGCTGGTATTTGTAGTTTTGCTTTCCTTATGCATAATGTTGAAAATCTTTCTTTTTCATGCTAATGATTACCTCTTATTCACTATGTGCAAAAAATAAACATTTTGTTCAAATAAAATGAGAAAACCTGAGCAGCCCTTATGTCCTGCAAAGTTTTAAGGCGCGGCTCCTCAGTATCTTTGAGAATTGTGTTTGTTTTTACATGTGTATCAGAACCAACCTGATGTTGCATGGTGGGTGCTTCTGGATCATTTCATGGCCTCCTGAATTGTAATCTTTGGGGTCTCTGAGGTATGGTAAAATTTTCACCCAAGGAATTACATGGCATGTCACTGTGGCCCTCTTCCCCCGTTAACCTTCTTTCAACTACTTTCTGTATCACCATGTAGGTTCTGCAGTGTCGAGCTGACATGTTGGCATTCAGAGCTTGTTAAACCCATATCACTTCTCCGTAAATACTCTGAAACACGTATAGAGTTTAATTTAAGGACTCTTTCCTTGTGTGTGCTTGTATTCACTGGGAAGGAGAGGGCTCGGGAGGACTGTGAAGCATCATCATGCAAGTGCCCAGGTCTGGACAGTTTCTCGATGAGTGGACTATTGGCTAGTTCAGACTCACATGTAAACTTCTCCTGGTCTATTGAAAAACAAACAAACAAACAAACAAGCCCACTCAATTCTAATCAATTGTCCAGTGTCTCTGAAGCAGGCAACTGTCATCTGAGCACAGACACACGACTGTGGAATATAAGGGCAGGATGAAGCCTGCTGTGTAGGAGCTATGTTCACTCGTGGGTCATTGGGTTTTGTACCAGTATTCCTTGATACACCTCAGTGTAAGTTTTGGCAGTTAACCTTACTTTCTGAGGAAGCTGAACGGCCCAAGTTATGTTTTACTATGATGGCACTTTGATAAAATGGCCAGCAACCATCCCTGGCCAAAAGTTCTATGAACCATGTCCTGGAGCTATTTTCAATGTGGATTTCTAAGAATGGCCATGTTTCCCTTCATGTAAGTGCCTGTTCAAAGTTTCAGAATTTCAAAATGCCAAATATTTTCATGGTCACTTGCATGGAGTATCTAGGAAATATTTCAGAGAGATTTTGAAAACCAATTGTATTTAACCAGCCTCAATTTGTGCAACTATGATATATTATAAGTAATTTGAAACAGAAACTAAGCTTGTAGTTCAAGTCTAATCATTGTTAGCAGGTTGAACACAAGATTGCCCAATGGGTTAGGAGGACAGTCATGACATTCACTTTTTATATAGTACAAGCTTCAGGTGTATTTGTTTACTCTTATTTTATTTTTTATGTGTATTACCATTTTGCTGCATGTATGTCTGTACAGACCTCTGGGCAGTACCCAGGGAGGGCAGAATAGAGCATTAGATTTCCTGGAGCTGAAGTTACAGATGGCTGTGAGCAGCCATGTGGGTGCTGGGAACAGAACACAAGTCTGCTGGAAGAATAGCCAGTGCTGTTGACCATTGAACCATTTCTCCAGCCTCACCAGCTTCAGTTTTAAATAGTTATAAAATGCTTTTAATTATCTTGTTTAAAACTCACATAAGATCCTTGTTCACTCCACCTGAGACTTTTCTGATGCTAACCAACTTACAACTTTTTCTGAATTCTATTTTTGGGGATTTCTGTCAAAACTTGGTAAATAAAAAACAGCAAACTGTAGGCTACATTTGTCTGTCCACTGAAGGATACAGTATTACAGCAGTGCTCAGTCTTAGTCACATGGCAGGATCACTTCAAGACTTTAAAAAATAGTCACACCTAGATCTCACCTAGACAGTAAAATCAGGATCTCACCGTGAGTATTGCTGCATACTTGTGGTCCCAGCATTTGAGATGCAGAGGCAGGAGGACTGCCACAAGTTCAAGGGCAGCCTGTTCTACATAGTGAGTTTCAAACTAGAGCTATTAAAATTTTCTTTCATGTATTGGGGCATAAACATAAAAACAAAACTACCTATGGTCAAAGGGACATGGATCCTGTTTCTTGCTTAAGAGAATCTTACTGCCAGGGCTGATCTTAAATTCACTATATAGCTAAGGATGACCTTGAAGTACCTTAAAAAAATTAAAATAGGGTCTTGTAGCCCAGCCTAGGTGTGAACTTCTTATACCTCCAAGGAGATCTTTAACTTCTGATCTTGTCTCTCCCTCCCTAGTGTTGGGATTATGGTCATGCACCACACCTGGTTAATGTGGTGCTTGGACTTCATGACCTGGGGCTTTGAGCATGCTAAGCAAGCACTGTTTCAACTCTTATCAACCTAGCTCTAATCCGACCCTCCATCTCCTGGTTTATAAAATGCTGGAGACTGAACCGAAGGCTTCTTGTATGCCAGGCAAGCACACTCCCAACTGAACTATAGTTCTAGCCCTCTTTAAAGCTTTGTTTTTCTCATTACTAAAATTTTCTTATTTTGACATAGTTGAGGAAAAAGGTTTTCCCTCTATTGTTTGAGACAAGATCTCTGCATCTAGGGTGGTTGTGAATTCACCACCCTGTCTCAGTCTCTTGAATGCTTGATTCTCTGCACTTTTACACTAATTGATGAAGGCAAGAAGGCCCACGTAATCACATACCTATGGGATCCCAAAAATGCAACTCAAAAGGAGTGGGTGGAATTTAGTGCTCCTGTACTTTCTTAAAAAGTATCAGGAGAGGGGAGAGATTTTTGTTACTGTTGTTTTGTTTGTTTTTTAAGACAGGGTTTCTCTGTGTAGCCTTGGTGTCCTGGACTTGCTTTATTGGCCGGGCTGGCCTTGAATTTAGAGATCTGCCTGTTTCTGCCTCCGTGAGTGCTGGAAGTACAGGTGTGCGCCATTCACCTGACTTGAGATGTATTGGTTTTTGTGAGGCTGAGGTGTGGTGCCTGTGTACTGCTGGGAAAGAAAACAGTCTTCCCTGGTTGCTTCCGGGGAGGGTCAGTCCTAGGTAGGGGATCAGTGGCATATTTGAACCTCCTCAGTATAAATATGGTAGTTGTGATACTTAGTTTCAGTATAATGAGCAAAGTTCTTTGCTATCCCATTTATATGGATGAAAGCATCCTGTAATGCCTTATACTTCTGCCAGAACTTTACAGATTTAAAAACTGCAGCCATATGCAAAAGCCTAGCGAAGAAAATATAACCCTTATATACGGTCCTTAAAAAAAACAAAAACAAAAACTTGGATATTCTGAAATTCTTAGTAGTTGGCTTCTTACAACATGGTCAGACTCTACATCGCAGAACACATCTTTAGCTCTAGCTGTGTCCACCTCCAAACACTCTTGTTCCCCTTGACTTAAGTTCTAGTAAGGCTGTCCCGGGGAGCCTAGGTCTTCTGAGACAGGTTCTCAGTATGTAGTTGTGGCTAGCCTGGAATTCTGCATAGATCAAGAGATACTCCTGCCTCTGTCTCCTGAGTGCTGGGATTAATTTTGTATACCACTATGCCTGGCCAACCCATGAATTTTTTTCTTCCATTTTTTGACACAGGGTTTCTCTCTCTGTAAAGCAGACTAGCTTCTAATTCACAGATAACAGCCTGCCTCTGCTTCCTGAGTGCTAGGTTTAAAGGTGTGCACCACCACTGCTCAGCCTTTTTTTTTTCTTTTTCCTGTAAATTCTTCAGTTCAGTGCTTGGAGGTGGATGAGGAGAAAGAAAGACAGGAGGAGCAGGAGGGAAGTGGAATTAGCTGTGGAGAAGTGGGAGGGCCTGGGAGTGGGGTGAGAATTATATTGCAGAAGAGAATCTTCAGTTTCTAGAGAGGCTAAGCTGGTCAGGGTGAACTAACAAGACTTTCCAAAGGGAACACACTGGGCTAGGAGAGCGGGATAGTTTCAGAGGGCTCAGATTTTGAGCCAGGCATGAGGATTTGGTACAATTAGCCAATGGTCAATATAAGGGATCTGGTAGAGGTGTTCTGGGGTCCCTGTGACCTTAGCCACATGGCTTGGACAACGGTGGGATCCAGGGAGCCTGTGGCTGGCCAGCCCACTTCATATGAGGGCCAACTGACCTCACAAAAAGCATGCAGTTTTCCCTTAGTAGAGGTAACACCGTAATTATCCCCAAAACTATGGGGAAATTTAATATGCATTGTAGGGAAGACTTGGAATAGTTGGTCCCTTGTGGAGATAAGTTTATGTAACTCTGGGAAGCTCATATAGCTGGAGAACCCTTGTCCTAGGAAGAAAGGGTAGGTCTGCAGACAAAAGAATGAGGGCAGAATTTACTGGAACTGTCGACATTTTCCCAGGAAAGGGATTAACACTGCTCCTTTGACACGGGTGAAGTGTTCCCTGAACGGTGAGGCACATACCCCAGGTTGGCTTCTGGTTGTCACTAAGTCAAAGGGCCTGGAGTGCAGACTGGCGCTTCTATCCTTGAGACAGACAGAAGGGACAAAACAGGACAGATAAACAGAACGACCAACACCCCCACCCGCACCCCCACACCTGGCATGGACAAGCACTGTCCAGAGAGGAACTTGCTTTGGTCACCAGTTGTCTTTCCCTCTTGGGAGACTTAGGTGGTTCTTGACAACAAGTGGACTCTGAACCGTCAGTGAACCACCACATGAAGTCACAGCCCATTAGGACCCATTCAGACTCTGTAGCCTCTGCCAGATTCCCAGCTCTGGCCATGGAGCCTGTGGTCCAGAGGCACGCAAACTGGTCCACCACCAAATCATTCTAGTTGGGCTTGCCACTTGCTCAGACTAAGCCAGAAAACTGTCTTTCGTAAGTGGCATTCCAATGTAAAGCAAAAGTACAGGGAAAAACTCATCAGAACTCTTCTTGAACCAGAACTGAATTTAGAATTCAGATTTACCTCCCAGGAGAACCAGATACATTTTGGTATCTCAGAACACAGCAGTCATACGCGATCTCTCCACACTCAGTGAGAGGAGGGGGCCCCTGGAATGTCTTCAGGTCATGCCTCCCCTTCAACCTCTTGTCTGGAGTGAGACTGAGTCCCGTATATTATGGGATAGCTCACTGGGGCACCCATGTGAGATGCCCACGTGTAATTTATGCACCACCATAAATATAAGGCCAAATAAGAGTCTTTTATGTAAGGTGGCAACTGAGGGCAGGCTTCTTGCACAAAGAACTCTCAGCCCTTAGCTAAGAGTTATAGAGCAAAAGCATCATTTGCCTGTAAGGAAGGAGGAACCCTATGTTCTGTCAAGCAAGAGGTGGTCTTGAAGAGGACGAGATACAGGGGTCAGGTTTATGGGGAGGCCATGGATGAACAGTTAATGACCTAAAAGCTTCAGGCAAGGCGAGAAACTCCAGACAGGAAAGTTGACACATTTATGACATTGGCAGGCAGTTTGGAGCTGAGACACTCCTCCTTACAAGGAAATCAACATACTTATAAGTACCCCACTGAAGCTCACAGATCTGCAGATGGAATTTTTACCACAATAGTTTCCTTTTCTGCCCTCTAAAACCCTCAAGTCCCCCCCACACACAGACATACACTTGGGGGTGTGAAGCAGCCTCCAATAGAGAAAGCTTTCCTCCAGTGTTCTAATAAAACACAATCTGTTGGGCTGCCCTTTGATTTCTAAGTCCCCTTGATCAGTCCTGACCTAATCAGAGCATCCTGACTTCTCGACCATTTCATGTACATTTGTCTTTGAACTAGACTTAACAGTTCTCTGTGCCTTTTCTTTGCTTTTAAGTCCGCAGGAATCTCATTACAGTTTTGAAGTCACTAGCTTGACTTGCTCTTAGCCCATTACAGTAATAAGTACTTGCATTATTCACTAGGTATCATTATCACCAAAACAGATCAGGAGTGTAAAGGACCTCGCCTTAAATCCCTAACATCACTTTGTAAATCAAAAGCACCTAGGAAACAGTGTCTACAATCTTATTTGACACAAAATGTTACTTATTATATGACATGTGACTTAAAGTTAACAAATAATAATATAGGTATGTAGGCGTATAAAGAACCATCTGACCACATGTTTTGAGTTTAATGTTTCAGTCTCAGGAGAAAACAGTCGCCAACTTTACATCAAAGTACTCTGGGAGGCAGCAGTGCTGTAAAGATCTTTATTATGGCGGCAAGGCCAATTTATCCTCCGATAGGAGGAAAGTAGCCCACACATCAGACGCAGCAATCATCACTGAGACCAACTCCTGCCTATTACATGGGTGGATGGACCGCCTTAAGAATCCTTCTTGGGTTAAGAATTGCCCGTCACCCTACCCTGGAGATGCGGTCCATCCAGACCCTGCCTTGTGCTCTTCCCTCCCTCTTTCTGAACGCTAAGTCCTGTAGCTCAGTGGTGGAGCACATACCTAGCATGCTCCTGGTCCCTGCATCGAGCCCCAACACGGAGGAGAGAAGCACGTGTACTTGCACACGTGTCATACAAGGCCTTTATTTACTGTCGTAAAACCAAATTACCTTGCAACCCGTTTTGATATATAACAGGTCAAGCTATGTCCTCCAACGTTATCCTACTAGGAAACTAAGGACAATAATTCACTAGTCTTCTTGAAGATGCACTTTAATAGAGTTTACGCCACATGCTGCAGGTCACTAGGCTCACCAGGGTGGCCAGTTTGCTCACGTGATGAAGCTAGCTAGGTTACTTTCGGCTCATCTGTAGCCTCCGTAAAGATGCCTGATTATTTTCCCTTCTTTGAAGAACGATGATTTCAACTGCCGCAGAAGGAATGAGACGATGGGAGCTCGTTTCCGACAGTGTATCCTACAGAGCTCATTGTCCCCTGAATTAGAGCGAGCTTCCGACCCTACCATCTCCTTTTCCGTCAGGCGCGTGCGGGAACAGCCCTGCGGGCACGCTGGGTCCTTTCGGTCCGCGGGCGCCGGCGCTTACGTCACTGTTCGGCGCCCAGTCTGCGGGGTTTTCCCCCGGCTCCTGCAGAGCCGCTGTCTCGATGTCCTTGCCTCGGTGTGCCCTGCTGTGGGCTCGGCTCCCGGCGGGGCGCGGGGCTGGGCCCCAGACGGCCGCCTCCTCCGCCCTTCGCGCCCTCGTGGGGCCGTTCCCCGGGGCTCTAGGACGCGCTCCCTGCCTGGCCGCCTCCTCTTCTGCCTCTGGTGGCTCCAAAGCCCCGAACACGTCCTTGTTCGTGCCGCTGACAGTGAAGCCCCTGGGTCCCAGCGCCGACGGCGACGTGGGCGCCGAGCTCACTAGGCCTCTGGACAAGAGTGAGTGCTGGAGTCTCCTGGCGAAGCAGCAGGACCTGCGGCCGGAGCCTGCCTGGTGCAATGTCTGTTACTTTCTGGAGCCTTCGGCACCCGGGACTAATTCATTCTTAACCCCCTCCATAGAGACATTGACCCTTCCCACCCCTCTTCTGAGTGATTAAGCCCTAACTGTTGGATCGAGGTGCTTAGGGGAAAGTTTTGTCCTTAAGTGGTGAGATTAGACAGTGAGGACTTTTCAGGATTCTTTGCATTGACTGGACTAGGATGTCTAACAATGTTAAGATTCCATCTGGTTGCCTAAACAACAGATCCTGATTTCTCATTAAGTTTACTCTCCACGGGGCAGACCTGAATGTAAATACAAGATTGAAGTTGATAAAAGTGTCCTTGCCAAAGGTTCCAGAGATTAAAAAAAAAAATACTAAAAATAAAAAAAGGTATCACTGGGTGGCTGACAGTGGGTTTTGTCCTACCAAACTAGATTTGGGTGAGTTTGACAAGCATGTAAATGTTTTCTGTGAGAGGGGTCTTCAGATTATATATATGGTTGATTTTTACCTCTGTATATGATTAGGAGAGTGAAAGGTTTCTTCCAACCAAATGCATTCTTGGGCGATTGAAGGAATGCCATAGGTCTTCTTGGCACAAGCTGTTCAGGAACAACCTTTAGGCAGCTGACTTCAATATGCAAAACTGGTGCTTCCTTGTGTGGCCTTAAAGTATAGACTTCATATTTGGAGTCTGAGGCAGAGGGGTGGCAAGTTCAATGCCAGCCTGGACTCCCAAGTGAGTTCAAAACCAGGCAGGGCAACTTGAAGAGATCTTGTCTCAACGTAAAAAGACTTTTGGTTTGGTTTGGTTTTTGTTTGTTTGTTTATGAGCTTGAGGATATAGCCCCAGGATAGAGTACTTGCCAAACATGTGCCGCCCTATGGTCCTTTCCCAGTACTGTATAATCAACTAATCAATAAAATAGTAGTCCTTTTCTTTTCCCTTTCTCCTCTACCGTTTCCCTTCTCAAAATATGCCCGGGCTGTTCTCAGACTGGAAATTGTTAGTTACTGTATGGGCCACCATGGGTGACACTGCTGCTGCAGTGAAGTAAATCTTCCTCTGCTGGCGGGAGGACTCTGGAGTTTTGCATGAGTGGAGGGTAGAGGCAGCCGTGTGGAATTGGTCCTCTGCTTGTGTGCCGGCGGTATAGCAGGACTGTTTGTTGTTTTCCTATGATGTTTTTCTTCCCCGCCCTCGAACATTAACTCAGCAGGAAGGATCAGCTCAAAGCTTTATGTTCTCAAATTCCTTCTGTTTTTTGTAGATTTGTCTAAATTGGTAAACAGATGTTAAACTTTTGTATCTCTCTTTTAGATGAAGTAAAGAAGATCTTAGACAGGTTTTATAAGAGGCAAGAAATTCAAAAACTGAGTGCTGATTCTGGACTTGATGGTAAGACCAACAAGTTTTTAAAATTTTATTTTTAATTACCCTTATCATTTTAGATTTATGAGTATTTTGCCTGCATGTATGTTTATATACTGCTTTTGTGTAGTGCCCATGGACGAGGGTATTAGACGTCCTGGAATTGGAGTTAGAGATGGCTGTTGAGCTGTGGGTGCTGAGAATCCAGCTTGGTTTCTGTGTAGAACAGCCAGTGTTGTTAACCACTGAGCCATCTCTCCAGCTCTGCCAATAACATCTTTATAGAGTTGTTGCATTTTACTTTGTTATATGTAGTTATACTACGTAGTTGCAGTTTGTAGAAAAGTCTCTCTCCTTTCCTTCTGAGGACCCTCAAGCTCGCCTGCAATCCCAAGTGCACAGTGCAGGAACTGCAAATTCAGCCTGCCTTGGTGTTGTGTTTAGTTTCAGTTTTACCCCAGCTTGTGAAAAACCAGCTGTGCTACCAAAACGTTGACAGGCGATTGGCATTTGCTGTGCTGGGTATATCTATTTTAACAATGAGAGTGGAAGTAAACCCCAGGTCTTATATGTTTCGATTTTGTGTTTTCCACAGCTCGCCTCTTCCACCAAGCTTTCATAAGCTTTAGAAATTACATTATGCAATCTCATTCTCTGGATGTGGACATTCACATTGTCTTGAATGACATCTGCTTCAGTGCAGGCAAGTGCTTAGAGAAGTCTTTAATTTGTGTGTGTGTGTGTGTGTGTGTGTGTGTGAAAGAGATAGAGTTGGAGTTGCAGGGGAGGAGGTGTAGAAGAGAAGTCTGTGTGCATGACACTCATTTGGAGGTCAGAGGACAACTTTTGGGAGTCTGTTCTCTGCTTCCAGCTGTAGGTTCCAGGGATTGTATGCTGGTGCCTTTCCTTGTTGAAGCATATCATTGGCCTGCTGGAGGATTTTTTAAAAATTATGTTTACTCTATGCATCTGTGCACCACATGGATGTGGTGCCTACTTCGTGGACGGTTGTGAGTTGCCATGTGGGTGCTTTGAATCAAACCTGGGTCTTCTGGAAGACCAACCAGTGCTCTTAACCATTGAGACATTGTTCCAGCCTGCTGTGAGGATTTTTTAAAGCATTGATTTTGTGTGATGTGTGTGTGCGTATTTTGTATGTGCTCCTGT